CCCAGCAGCCCCTCCAGGTTGGTTTCCTCCTCAGAGTGTAGTACCAGGAGATGACCCTCGGTGCAGTCACGGCTTGGCCACTGGGTAGCACCCCAGTGGGGACAGGAGAAAATCCCGCAGTCTTCAGCCTCAGGACCCAGCCCCAGTGGGCAAGAGGCCACCCAGGTCTCCATCCCCGGGAGACCAGGAGCCGGGAGCTCTCCATGACTCTCAGTGACTGGCCAAGGGACTGGCCAGCCTCCTCCCACCCAGAGGTGTATCCCAGGATCCCCCAGAGGAGCACAGGCCCATTTCTGGGAGCCTGGGTGGAAGGGGAGCTGGGAAAGTTTGGGAAGGGAGGACCTTCTTACTTTCACATTCTAGTGCAAATGCAGCCTGACCACTGCCTTACATCTTAGCACACTGGGCTTTGATGAAACCTCTTAAAATCCTACCTTTGAACTCCTCAGATCTTCAGTTCCACCTCCCAGGACTTCCTGGGAAGCCTCAGAAAGCAGGGAAGGGTCCTGATCTCAGAAGGGTGGGGGGGTGTTGCTCAGTTGTTCAGCCGCTTAGTTATATCAGACTCTTGGTGACCCTACGGACTGTAGCACGCCAGATTTCTCTGTCCTTCACCATCTCCTGGAGTTGGCTCAAACTCAAGTCCATTGAATCGATGATGCCATCCAGCCATCTCATCTTTTGTCGCCCCTTCTCCTCCTGCCCTCAATCTTTCCCAGCAACAGGGTCTTTGGCCAGGGGCTTATCCCTTTTCTCCCCTTACCCCAGGACTCTCCCCTCTTCCTCTGCAGAAAGAGCTCAATGAGGACATCCAGGTGATCCCTAATGCCCAGCAGGGGTCCGAGAGCCCAGCCCGAGCAGGCAGGGAGTCAGAGGCCCTGAGGTCCCAGCTGGAGGAGGAGAGGAAGCGGGTGGCCCAGGTGCAGCATGAGCTGGAGGAGCAGAGGAGCCAACTGCTGCAGCTGAAGACCCAGCGGCCCGTGGAGAAACTGGAGGAGAAGGAAGTGGTGGAGTTCTACCGGGATCCCCAGCTGGAGAGCAGCCTGTCCAGGGTGAAGTCCCAGGTGGAGGATGAGGGCAAGAAGCGGGCCGGCCTGCAGGCAGACCTGGAGGCGGCGGCCCAGAAGATCGTGCAGCTGGAGAGCCAGAGGAAGGCCACGGAGCCTCATCTGCTGACCAAGGAGGTCACCCAGATCGAGAGGGACCCCGGCCTGGACAGCCAGGCGGCCCAGCTCAGCGGTGAACTCCAGCTCCTGCAAGAGGAGAACACGGCCATCTCGGCCCGGCTAGAGGCGCTGAAGGCGGAACTGCTGGCCCTTGAGCAGAAGGAGGTGAACGTGAAGGAGACAGTTGTGGTGAAAGAAGTGGTCAAGGTGGAGAAAGACCTGGAGATGCTCCAGGCGGCCCAGGCCCTGAGGCTGCAGATTCAGGAGGATGCAGCCCGGCGGAAGGAGGCAGAGGATGCCGTGACCAAGCTGCAGGCTCGAGTTGTGGAGCTGGAGGCGGCAATCCGCGCCGTGGAGCCCAAGGTGATTGTGAAGGAGGTGAAGAAGGTGGAACAGGACCCCGGACTCCTGCAGGAGGCATCCAGGCTGAGGAGCCTCCTGGAGGCACAGAGGAATGAGAATGAGGTGCTGGCCAGGGAGCTGAAGGAGCTGCATAGCAAGCACAGTGCGGTGGAGAAGCAGAAGCCCAGGGTGGACCTGCAGGAGCGCGTGCAGGAGACCTTCCAGGTGGACCCAGAAACGGAGCGGGAGATTGCGCGGCTCCGGGCAGAGCTGCAGGAGACCACCCACAAGAGGAGCGGGGTGGAGCAGGAGGTGGAGCGGCTGCTGCCTGAGCTGGCGGTGCTGCGGGCACAGAAGCCCACCGTGGAGTACAAGCAGGTGACGCAGGAGCTGGTGCGGCACGAGAGGAGCCCCGAGGTGCTGCGGGAGATCGACCGCCTGAAGGCCCAGCTCAACGAGCTGGTCAATGGCAGCGGGCGGGCCCAGGAGCAGCTCATCCGGCTGCAGGGGGAGCGCGATGAGTGGAGGCGAGAGCGCTCTAAGGTGGAGACCAAGACTGTGAACAAGGAGGTGGTGCGCCGTGAGAAGGACCCCGTCTTGGAGCAGGAAGCCCAGCGGCTGCGCCAGGAGGTGCGGGAGGCCACCCAGAAGCGGCGGGCGGCTGAGGACGCGGTCCATGAGCTGCAGAACAAGTACCTGCTGCTGGAGAGGCGGCGGCCCGAGGAGAGGGTGGTGGTGCAGGAGGTGGTGGTCACCCAGAAGGACCCGAAGCTCCGCGAGGAGCACAGCCGGCTGAGCCAGAGCCTGGATGAGGAGGCTGGCCGGCGGCGGCAGCTGGAGCGGGAGGTGCAGCAGTTGCGGGCCATCGTGCAGGAGGACGAGGGCCGGCTCAGCTTCCGGGAGGACCGCGGCAAGAAGCTGGCTGCGGAGAGGGAGCTGCGGCAGCTGACCCTGAGGCTCCAGGAGCTGGAGAAGCGGCCTCCGGCGGTGCAGGAGAAAATCATCATGGAGGAGGTAGTCCAGCTGGAGAAGGACCCGGACCTGGAGAAGTCCACCGCAGCCCTCCGGCAAGACCTGGCCCAGGAGAAGACCCAGGTGACCGAGGTGCATCGGGAGTGCAAGAACCTGCAGGTGCAGATCGATGTGCTCCAGAAGACCAAGGCGCAGGAGAAGACCATCTACAAGGAAGTGATCAGGGTGGAGAAGGACCCGGTGCTGGAGGGAGAGCGTGCCCGGGTATGGGAGGTGCTCAACCGGGAGCGCGCGGCCCGGGAGAGCCGGGAGGAGGAGGTGAGGCGCCTGCGGGAGCGGTTGGAGCGGGCCGAGGCGCTGGGGAGGACCTGGGCGCGGGAGGAGGCTGAGCTCCAGAAGACCCGGGACCGGGCGAGCCAGGAGTGCAGGCGGCTGCAGCAGGAGCTGCGGGAACTGGAGAGGCAGAAGCAGCAGCGGGTGCTGCACCTGCAGGAGGAGTCCAAGCTGCTCAGTCAGAAGACAGAGAGCGAGCGGCAGAGGGCAGCCCAGCGGGGCCAGGAGCTCTCGCAGCTCGAGTCGGCCATCCTCCGTGAGAAGGACCAGATCTATGAGAAGGAGCGGACCCTCCGGGACCTCCACACCCAAGTGAGCCGGGAGGAGCTCAACCAGGAGACCCAGACGCGGGAGACCAACCTCTCCACCAAGATCTCCATCCTGGAGCCCGAGACGGGGAAGGACATGTCCCCGTATGAGGCCTACAAGAGGGGCGTCATCGACCGAAGCCAGTACCTCCAGCTGCAGGATCTCGAGTGTGACTGGGAGGAGGTCACCACCTCGGGCCCCCATGGGGAGGAGTCTGTGCTCCTGGACCGCAAGAGCGGGAAGCAGTACTCCATTGAGGCCGCCCTGCGTAGCCGGCGCATCTCCAAGGAGGAGTACCATCTCTACAAGGACGGCCAGCTCCCCATCAGCGAATTCGCCCTGCTCGTGGCCGGGGAGACCAAGCCCTGCCCTTCCCTCTCCATTGGCGCCATCATCTCCAAGTCCCCGCTTGCGTCTCCGGCCCCCCAGAGCACGAATCTCTTCTCTCCTGGCTTCTCTCTCGGGCTCGGTGAGGACAGCTTCCCCATCGCTGGCGTCTACGACATGACCACGGACAACAAGTGCACCATCAAGACCGCCGTGGCCAAGAACATGCTGGACCCCATCACCGGGCAGAAGCTGCTGGAGGCACAGGCGGCCACAGGAGGCATCGTGGACCTCCTGAGCCGGGAGCGCTACTCTGTGCACAAGGCGATGGAGCGGGGGCTGATCGAGAGCGGCTCAACCCAGAGGCTGCTCAATGCCCAGAAGGCCTTCACCGGCATTGAGGACCCTGTGACCAAGAAGAGGCTGTCGGTGGGCGAGGCCATCCAGAAGGGCTGGATGCCCCAGGAAAGCGTGCTCCCGCACCTGCGGGTGCAACACCTGACCGGGGGGCTCATCGACCCCAAGAGGACCGGCCGCATCCCCGTGGCGCAGGCCGTGCTCTCCGGCATGATCAGCGAGGAGCTGGCTCAGCTCCTGCAGGACGAGGCCAGTTACGAGAAGGACTTGACAGATCCCATCTCCAAGGAGCGACTGAGCTACAAGGAGGCCATGGGGCGCTGCCGGAAGGACCCCCTGAGCGGCCTATTGCTCCTTCCAGCCTCACTAGAGGGGTACCGGTGCTACCGCTCGGTCTCCCCCACTGTCCCGCGCTCCCTGCGTTGACGGGGGCCGAGCAGTCACAGGGAGTGATTGGGGATGGGGAGGGGAGGATGCACGCACCCTGGGCCCCTGGAGCAGCTTAACCCAGGGGAGTGGGTCTTCCCTCTGACTCTTCGATGTTCTGTTTCTCACGCGTTCTCGGTGTTGGACTCCCTCCCATGACTTTGGTATCCCCTGACCCATACCCTGAGCCAGCAGCTCTGCTTCCCCGGCTCCTCCCTCACCCTGTGCTTCCAATAAACGAATTCTCCTGGTGTCTTTTTTTTTTTCTTTTACAGTAGTAAAAGATGTTTATCAGTTTTCACGATCAATAGCCAGATCAAAAAAAGATAATTCCAACTGCAAGCAATCATGGAAATATGATTAACCTAACAGTATAAAATAATTACATACAATTTGAGGGGGTTGAGTGAGGTGGTAAGTGGAAGTACACATTTTCATCTGCCTGGCCAGTCTACAGCTTTTGGCTGGTTTCTCCTGGTGTCTTGTTCACGTTTGAGAACAGAGTCAATATTTCTGGGGCATGGGCAGGAGGGACGGCACTCCTACGTGAGGAGAGGACACACCCAACTGGCCCTGCTGGCAACGGGGACTTTCAGAGGACAGCGGCTCCTTTCACTCCGGGAAGGACCTGACAGGAGCAGGTCGTGGAGGACCAGGCCCTCCCCACAGCCAGTTCAGGGCAGAAGCTGTCTCCACCCCTCTTGTCAACCTCCCCCTTGTTGGCACGTCCCTGGCGTCCCCCGAGAGCAGAGAGAAACACTAGAAAACTCAGGAATACGTCACTTTTACTTTCTGTTCTTAAAGCCAGAGGCATACAAACATAAGCATATCCGCAGTGATGAGACAGCTACTTAGAACATCCGACCTCCTCCTGGGATCAGGAAAAAGGCCTCTCCCCCTCGCTCCACCTCCTGTTTTAACTTGGGACTCTTAACTGGAATTCAACTCTTCCCTCAAAACATTTTAAATCCAAAAAGACCAGCTGGGGGGGGGGGACCCTTTCCTTGGGGGTCTTGCTCTGCAGCTGAGGGCGGGGCAGCCGAGGGGTGCTAGGAGAGCCTTCCTGGCAGCCCGGGCAGGCTTTCTGCTCTCCTTGGCACCTGCCAGTCTGGTGCCCAGGGACCCCGCCTCTAACTGACCTTCTCGGGCAGGGGGCTTCTGTGCCCCCATCTTAAAAAGGCAAACCCAGAAAACAACACAGAACATGCTAGCCTGCTGGCAGGACTAACCTAAACTCAGTCCTCAGACAGCTGATGCCAAATTGCTCCCCTTTCTTGGGGAGTGAGTGGGGAGGCGGCGCAGGGCAGCAGGTGCAGAGGGGTTTTGAGGCGGTAGGCCTCGCACGTTCTCAGCGGCAGAGACGCTCCAGCACACACTGGTGGGGTGCCGAGGCAGTCTGGGTGGACGAGAAGTACGGGTGGGCCAGGGCGGCCTTGGCTGAGATCCGCCGGCTGGGGTCGTACTGCAAGAGTTGCTGCAGAGAGAGGAGGAGAGACCGCTTGGGCCCCAGGTGCGGCCACGGCCCCAGAGCCCCAAAGCAGCTCCCTTCAAACCCAGAACCGCCCAAAGCCACTATCTCCCAGCTGGAAAACCAGTTCCAGACACTCCTGAAATCTGGGGACAAAGACTTTGTTCTAGTCCTGTTGAGTCACACCCTGTCTCCTTCATGCTACTGAGGCTGAGTCAGTCTCTCCTCTTCCTTAGAGAGCTTTGCAGGCTCCAGCCCACTTCTAGTCGAGACAGATCTAAGTATCAGGAAGAGGGGCCAAGCATGTCCAGGGAGCATGCTTGAGAGTGGGGCAGAAACAAAAATCCCTAAACCCAGCGGGAGGGCAGAAGGACCTCCCCACCTTAAAGCGGCCAGGATGCAGGGTGAGGAGTCTTGGTGGGAAGTCCATGCCACCCCCCAGCACTGGGCTGGGAGACACACACAGCCCTCCGGAAAGTGGGGCACACAGCATGAAGATGAACTTGCTGCCCTGCCTTCCTGTGACCCAACATCAGATTCAAGAGAAAAACGTGCTCCGAGTCTCTGGGGGCGAGAATGCATGCCTGGACCCCTCTGGGCATCCAGGCGTGGGCCAGCCGAAGCGGTCAAGAGGATGTACCTGGAGTGGTGACTTAAGACTGGTGGGGGCTGAGGAAGTGGAGGGGGGCAGCCTGCTCTGAATAATAATCACAAGAAAAAATTACTGAAACACAGGACAACCAAGAGAAAGGGCACATATCACAGTATAGGCTTCCCAGTGGTAAAGAACCTGCCTGCCAGTGCAGGAGATGCAAGAGACCTGGGTTCAATCTCTGCATTGGGAAGATCCCCTGGAGTAGGAAATGGCAACCCACTCCAACATTCTTGCCTGAAAAATCCCATGGACACAGAAGCCTGGTGGCGACAGTCCATAGGGTCACAGAGAGTTGGACACGACTGAGTGAGCACACACATACATCACAGCGTAAAAACAAAGGTAAATAGAAGAGAGAAATTTTTAAATGGGTGACAAACACTGGACTTATTGTGGGAGAGGCCTCCAGGTGCAACTGATACAAACAGGAGACAAGCCAACTGTGTACAGAGGTCAGAAAAGAGACCGGTATGGCCCCAGAAGGAGCCAGGCTTACATAAGAGGCTGGATGACAAAGTGGACACTTCTACGGAGAGCAGCAGCTGGCATGAGGAGGCCTTGGCCTCCCTGCCACCTACCTGTACCTACCAAGAGCAGGTCCTGGCCCTCTGGCTCCAGGTTTGGCACAATCTCCTCCAGCTCCTTACTGGTCCACTTGGGGAAACTGCCCTTATAGTCAGGCAGCTGGGTGACTCCTGGCCACATGGCCTCACTGGGTGTCCCCAGGGTCCGAAAGATACGGAAGAGTTGGTCAATCTCAGAGTCACCCGAAAACAGGGCTCTGCGGGTCACCTGGAATGGGGAAGGAAAGAAAGCGTGGGGTCTATTCCCTTGTCATACAGAACCCAGTACCAGACGAGCAGCCAGACCAGGGAGGTACCTTCCAGACATCTTTCCCAGGGCTGTGCTAAAAATCCTGACCTGTTCTGGAAAAAGAACTTTAGCCCAATCCCAAACATCCCTTAATCTACTTTTAATAGGAGAACCAGAGCCCCCACGTCCCCCGACCCCAGGAGGACCCTGCCTGTAGCCTCCCCATGGCCGTGTTTATCCCTCTGTCTACCATTTCTGCAAAAATGCAACCGATGCTCCAGATATCCACAGCTGTGGAGTAGAACTGGCAGCCCAAGAGGATCTCGGGGGCACGATACCAGAGTGTCACCACCTGGGGGAGCAAGAAAACAGCATCATTCAGGGCAGCCGGGTGCACAGGGGCCCAGGGGCCGTCCCTTCTCTCCCCCTCCGTCCCCTGGTACCTCATGGGTGTAGGAGCGCAGCGGCACCCCAAAGGCTCGGGCCAGTCCAAAATCAGCCAGCTTGATGGCCCCCAACTCGCTGATGAGCAGATTCTGGGGCTTCAAGTCTCGATGGATGACCCGGTGCGAGTGGCAGAAGTTCACCCCCTGCAGCAGCTGGAAGAGGTAACTCTGGAACGGTGGGCAAGAAAAAGAAAGAGCTGGCAGAGCGGAGGTGCGGTGGGGGCTGACTGAGGGGGCCCTTGCTGGTCAGCCCGTCCTTCTCCCCGTACCTTGATTAGGTGCGGGGGGAGCTCGGAGGCCGGGATGGAGTCCATGTACTTCTTCAGGTCCTGGCTGAGGAACTCAAACACCAGGTAAAGCTTCTTCTCGCTGTGAACCACGTCCAGCAGCCTGGCCGGGCGGCACCAGTCAACACGCGGCTCCCAGTCGTGCTGGGACAGGTGAACCGCCCCATCCCCTGCCCGCCTTACCTGACGATGTTGGGGTGCTTAAGCTCTTTGAGCAGGGAGATCTCCCTGATGGCAGTGCTTGGGACCCCCTCAGTCTCCCTGGAGAGGGGGGTGCAGCAGTTCAGGGAGAAGCTGGGCGGGGTGCTTCTGCCGGGGGGGGGGGGTTTCATATATAACATTACATGAGGATGGCCACCTCCTAGCAATGGGACCCTCCTGGGCACATAGTTATCACCCCCAAAGGCCCAGGGCGAAGACTGGCCAGGATGAGGATGAGGGCTGCACCTGTGTGGCCCCCCTACATGAATGAGCAGCAGTCAGAAAAGGAGTCGAATACAAAACTCTGAGATGAGGGTCAGGCGGATGGCTGGGTCACTCCAAACCAGGGGGTCTCAGAGGCTACCCCGGCACTCACAAATCCAGCCTGATCTTCTTGAGGGCCACGAGCTGCCCGGTCTCCTTGTTCTTGGCCTTGTACACCACCCCATAGGTGCCCTCTCCAATCTTCTCCACCTTCTGGAACACATCCATGTCCGCAGAGCTGCCCTGGAAACAGACGGCGCCTGGGGCGTTCCCCCCCATGCCCAGAACCCCTGCTGCCCCTTCAGCCCCCAGGGCACATCCTGCCGGGCCCCCACCCAGGCCCCCGGGGCTCCTGAAGACTGTGGCTCCCAGGGAACCACCCTGCTCTGCCGGCCAGGCGGACCAGGCCCAGGCCCAGCTCCCACCCTCCACCCCAGCCCCAGCCCATCCCCAAGAACCTATCATGGAGGGAGGCTGCAGCCCAGGCCGGGCAGGGACCCCCAGGCCCCAGGAAGCAGCTGCCCCAGAGTCGGGCTACGGAGCGCAGGAGGGTCCAAACTTCCCCTGCCCAGGTCCCGGCCCCAGGGCGGGAGGCTGCCCAGAGGGGCTGCCCTGGGGGGCCCAGGGTCAACTCGGGGTGGAGGTCAGGGGTCAGGAAGGGCTTCAGAACTCACAAAGCTGCACTAGGCCGCGTGGCCAGGGAGAGGGGCTGGGCCTGGCCTGTTTGGAGATGCTCGGCCTCGTGAGGGCAGAACCTTGACAGGAGCAGCCCCCGCTGCGTCCTGGGTCCCTCCACCCGGTCCTGGGCCACCCACCGCCAGCAGTCTCCCCTCAGGCCCTCAGCCCAGAATTCACCAGAAACCCTGCGATCCTGCGGCCTCTCTGCCAGGCAGGCCGCCTGCTCCGAGGCTCCCCCTCCTGGCCCCGGCCGGCACTGCACCACGTGCACGCGCTGCTCAGTCACACCACCAGGCTTTATTCACAGGGACATTCTGGAACTCTCCAGGACCCACACGAGGCCCAGCGCCCCAGCGCCCCAGCGCCCGGCCTCGGAGCGCTAGGCTGCCCTCCCCTCGTCTCTCCAGACAAAGGCTGTCAGCCGGGGGACGCTCCTGCATCTTCTCTGCAGCAGCTCCAGCGTCTGGCCGGGCGGGAAGGCGGCATTGCTCCCTACTGGCCACTGTCCCTCTCTTGCTGGTACAGCCTCTGCTCCCGGACGGCTTGTTCTAACAAGGGGAGGTTCATTCCTTCCACACACGTCAGTACCCGGGCCTTCACCATGCAGCTTCCGTCTGAAACACACAGACACCAAGGCCCCGGCAGGGTCAGCAACGCACCCTTCAGAGGCGTTCTGTTTCTCCTCGATTTCTCCTCAGTCCTGAGTTTGGACAGAGAGCCTGACGGGGCAGAGGTGAGAAGGATGGTTTACGGATGCTGGCAGTTTGTATACTTGGGCCTCAGAACTGTTGGGCCCGCCACACACTACAGACGTGGAACTGAGGGAGGGTAGCCTGAAAAGTCCACTTCTCCTGGGAGAAGGCCCAGCAAGATGTGGCCTCTGCTCCCCTCTTGTCATCCTAACTCCCGCCAGCTTCTCTGTAGGGCTCAAAGGCCCAGAGTTGAGGAACGGTCTCTATCGCATCCTAGTTCTCCATTTGTACCAGAGGGCCCCTTGGCATCATGGGAATTGAGGCAAAGAGACCCCCACATTGAAAAATAAATTTATTTATTTATTCGGCTGCGCCAGGTCTTAGTTTCAGCACATGGGATCCTCTATCTTCTTTGGGGCATGTAAACTCTTAGCTGCAGCATGTGGGATCTAGTTCCCTGACCAGGGATCGAACCCAGGCTCCCTGCAAGGGGAGCATGAAGTCTTAGCCACTGGACCACCAGAGAAGTAACCCCATTTTTTTTTTTTTTTTAGTGAATACAGTTCCCAACAAACACAGAAGACTTTTAATGATATTAATAAAGCTCCTTAATTGTTTCCCCCCCACCCCCGGCCATGTTGCCTAACATGTGGGATCTTAGTTCCCTGATCAGGCATCAAACCTGTGCCCCCTGCACTGGGAGCATGGAGTCTTAACCATTGGCCTTCCAGGGAAGTCCTGAGAACCCCATATTTAATCAATCCAAGGGAAGAGTCTAGCCTAATAGTGGCAGATTATCCCACCCTGGACAAGTGGCTGCGGGTGCTTCTAGCAGATGCTGTGGTTTCCCAATGGAAAGGTTTGTCAATGTCCAGGTGACACCAAACAGGAAGGACATCTGGAATTTGTCCTCCTAACAGTTTGTTTTTGTTTCCACTACATTTTCTCTGCTCTCTGAGCACGTCAATGAATACAATAAATGTTCTAGAACATTATCCTGTCTTCTTTGATGCCATTTTGAGATAGAGGCATCCTGTGGTTAGAATCTATGCCTAACCTTCCTTCTAGTCTAGGCCACTTTATTGATTTAGCACAGCCCGACGGCAGAATTCAGAGGCTTGGACTGTCTAAATTTCAAACTTTAACATAGGAAGATGAACTCATTTGAAACAAGAGGTTGCCTGCGTGTCGTCAGCTTCTGTTCCGCAGCACTTGGACTGCAAAGGCTGCTATGCCTAGATCAGGGGGGCATGGGGCTGTCCATCTTTGAAAGGTCTACATAAATGGAATAAAAGAAGAGCATCTGAAGAGCAGGGGCTAGAGAAAGGAGTTGATGAGGTCATTTAGGGTAATCTCTTCTTGCAAAGATAAAAAGAACCTGCAGCAAAGGAAAAGGGGCTGATAAAAGAGCAAACAGAAGCCAGTGGGTTGAGGTGTGAGTCTGAGATAAGGAAGGGATGATATGGAAAAAACAGACCTTCTTTTAGGAAGTTTGACTGTGGAGGCAAGAGGGTCATAGCCAGGTAGATATAAGGCCGAACTTGACAGCTTATTGTTGCTATTTTTTTTTTTTTTTTGCTATTATTTTAACACAGAAGAGACTTGAGGGCTTTATATGCTGGGAGGGAAGAACCACTGGTAATAGGTTAAGGGTTCAGCTGAAAAAGCAAAGCCCCGGCAGGAGGGCAGGCGTTTCTAACAGCACGGGGGCGCTGCGTCCCCGGGCAGGAGGGAGCCTCCTCTCTCCCAGACTAGAGGGAAGGAGCTACTGATGGGCGTGGTTGTTGTCCTCCAGTCACTAAGGCTCCTGGCGACCCCATGGCCTGCAGCACACCAGGCTTCTCTGTCCTCCACTGTCTTCCAAAGTTTGCTCAAGTCGGTGATGCCATCTAACCATTTCAACCTCATGGGCACTGATGTATATAATTATAGGGAAGACTGCTGCTGTGGCCTCAGTTTAACGTGGGATGTAGGAGGTGAAGGAGATGTACTGGAAAGGACAGGAGAGGTGATGATGTAGGGGTTCCTGCATGACAGGTGAATGCCTAAAGTAGCTGTGGCAGCTTGGGGGCTGGGTGGGGGGGGGCGGGAAGGGGACTGATCAGGACACGTAGAAGGAACTCTAGGCAGGTCCCCGGAAAGATAAGGGCCCACAGGAGGTAACAGACCTTGAAACCAGGGGAATCTGGAGCTTTGTGAGCTTTCTACATCAACAGTTAGGTGGGACCTGGGACCTGGCAATCAAATTGCCAACATCCGTTGGATCATTACAAAAGCAAGAGAGCTCCAGAAAAACATCTACTTCTGCTTTATTAACTAAGCCAAAGCCTCTGACTGTGTGGATCACAACAAACTGTGGAAAATTCTTAAAGAGATGGGAATACCAGACCACCTGACCCAAGTCTTGAGAAACCTGTATGCAGGTCAGGAAGCAACAGTTAGAACTGGACATGGAACAACAGACTGGTTCCAAATAGGAAAAGGAGTACGTCAAGGCTGTATATTGTCACCCTGCTTATTTAACTTATATGCAGAGTACATCATGAGAAATGCTGGGCTGGAAGAAGCACAAGCTGGAATCAAGATTGCCGGGAGAAATATCAATAACCTCAGATATGCAGATGACACCACCCTTATGGCAGAAAGTGAAGAAGAACTAAAGAGCCTCTTGATGAAAGTGAAAGAGGAGAGTGAAAAAGTTGGCTTAAAGCTCAACATTCAGAAAACTAAGATCATGGCATCTGGTCCCATCACTTCATGGGAAATAGATGGGGAAACAGTGGAAACAGTGTCAGACTTTATTTTTGGGGGCTCCAAAATCACTGCAGATGGTGATTGCAGCCATGAAATTAAAAGACGCTTACTCCTTGGAAGGAAAGTTATGACCAACCTAGACAGCATATTAAAAAGCAGAGACATTACTTTGCCAACAAAGGTCCGTCTAGTCAAGGCTATGGTTTTTCCAGTGGTCATGTATGGATGTGACAGTTGGACTGTAAAGAAAGCTGAGTGCCAAAGAATTGATGCTTTTGAACTGTGGTGTTGGAGAAGACTCTTGAGAGTCCCTTGGACTGCAAGGAGATCCAACCAGTCCATCCTAAAGGAGATCAGTCCTGAATATTCATTGGAAGGACTGATGCTGAAGCTGAAACTCCAAAACTTTGGCCACCTAATGCAAAGAACTGACTCATTTGAAAAGACCCTTATGCTGGGAAAGATTGAAGGTGGGAGGAGAAGGGGATAACAGAGGATGAGATGGTTGGATGGCATCACAGACTCAATGGACATGAGTTTGAGTAAACTTCGGGCGTTGGTGATGGACAAGGCCTGGCATGCTGTGATTCATGGAGTCGCAAAGAGTCAGACACGACTGAGCAACTGAACTGAACCGAATTGAGAGGGTGGAGGCTGGGGCTTAATCAGGAATGAGCAATGGAAGGTGAGGGGTTGGAACTTCTGCTAGGAAAGTGATTGAAATGATAGCAAGATCCAGCTGGAAGGGAGAGGAGGTGGGAGAAAATGGAGTCCAAAGTCTTCAGGTGCCCAGTGGTGACGAGGCAGAGGGCAGAAAGATACTGAGGGTGGAACCCAGTTTCAGATGGCAGAGGCGGGTGGTTTTGGGTGTGGAGGAAGCACGGGGTAGAGGTGCTTGGAGGCGGAACTGGTCACTGCAGAGGTGGAGGGGGAAGGTGAAGGGGACAAACTTGAAGAGCAGGCTAGATTCCAGCCCCACCTCTGGGTTCTGGGGAGTGTGTGACCAGAGAGGCTCCAAGTGGGAGGGCGGGGCGGGGGGGCGGGGCGAGGAAGTGCTGTCCGGGACAAAAGCTAGGTTTCAGGCAAGTCCCAGGGAAGGCGAGAGCATAGGAAAGGGACTTGAAATAAAATAGTGACAATATAAAAAGTAGTAAAATATAAAAAAACAAAACAAAAATAGTGAAATATAAAAACAAATGAATGCTTTACAGACTCTGGGAAAAAGAATTTTCAGCCAAGTACAAACCTTGAAAGCATTCCTCTCTTTAATTTGGCAATTCTTTACTGTGGAAGAGCTCAGAATGTCACTTCTGTTTTAAATAACAGAACTGGGGAACTGTGCAAGGAAACGTCATTTGGATTATAACATTAGGAAGGTTTGAGAGGACACATGGAAGGCCTACAAGGGGCAGGAAGCAGCAGTCAGGTGAATGGAAACCAGAAGAGGTGGGACTTCTGATGAGAGCCCCAAGGCAGCCTGCTGCTGTCGCCGAGCAACGGAGCAGATGGGAGGCCACGTCCTCGCCCCGTAATCACTGGATCAGAAGCCCTGAGCCCTGCAGGGTGTCCTGGCCTGCTGGAAGGGACATGGCACTGCCATTTTCTCTCTTTTGCCTACAAGGATTTCAGAAAGATGACCAGGCAGCCTCTTATCTCTGCTCAGAACTGCAGACCTTGCTATGGGGCAGGGCCTGTGTCTGGTCGACCTTTGTGTCCCCAGAGGACTTTGGACCCGGCTGAGGGCCAGACATGCCACCCCAGGCCGGAGGTCAGCAGCCAGTGCAAAGCTCAGCCCACACTCTGCCCTCCCTCCTCACCTCTGTCTTTCTTTCCTGCGTCAGTATCGAATGATGAGTATGTATGCCTCAGAAATTAGAAATCGAGGGAAAATTTTTTTTAGGAAAGAAAAAATACAGATAGCAATGAAAAACAATGAGAAATTTGGGGCCTAGGAAAAATGCTTCTGGATTATTGATTATAATAATAATATTGATTATTAGTCAAGCTGCTGGCTTGACTATTAAGCTTCCTGGGTTGGTTTGTTTTTTTGTCAAGCATACAACCCAGCAGGGGACTTCCCCCGGCAGTCCAGCGGTTAAGATTCCTCACTTTCAATGCAGCGGGCCGGGGGTTTAATCCCTGGCTGGGGAACTAAGGTCTCACATGCC